GGTGACTTTTTGACAAGAGTTTTTCTGTGTAGCCCTGACTGTCCTGGAACTCACTCTATAGACCAGGCTGGCCTTGAACTCACTGAGATCCACGCGCCTCTGCCTCCTGAGTGCTGGGATTAAAAATTAGTGACACCATACCTGGCAAAGGGGTGTTTGTTTGCTTGTTTTGGTTTTGGTTTGGTTTTTGCCTTTTAGGATCCTTTCAGTTCTATACATTGGCTGAATAAATATACTAAAGTAATATTCAGACTCCTCTAATTACAGTCGAACATGTTAGTAACATGTCTCAGACTGTGTTAATTCCAGATCCTAAGCAGCTTTGTGGCAGTTCATATGAATCCAATCTCATTTTCTGAAAGGAACAGAGGAATAATAGATCACTCACATTGACTGTGGCCTCTTCTGTTCTGAAGAAACTTAAATATAAAATGCATATCAATTTCCCGTGATTATAATTTTTATGAACCATAAACCAAGAGATGTATAAACTAAGTTAAAACTGAGAAAATTATATGATATAAATTAAGTCTCTTTTTGTAAGTCCCCTGAAGGGTGTGCCTTTTCTGAATGAACTGCAATACCAGGGCGATGTGTAGAGAGGTTGGAACGAGCTCCTGTCCCATCTCTCTGCTTCCCAAACCCACTTAACATGCTGTCCTTGGGCAGAGGGTTATCCCACAGGTTGTAGACTTGTCTTTGCCAGAATGCCGAGAGGCAAGAGAATGAATACTATATCTGAGATACGTTTTCAAGAGTCAAATAATAGATGTTGAGACTGTTACCAGTAGAAAGAGACACTTGCCTTTTGTCTGCCCAGTCTTTGACTCAGTCCTGTGCTTTGGTCTCGGATGGTCTGTGACTTGCCTCCTTGGCATTATCCTGGTCACCTTGTCTCCTTCACAATAGAAAACTCACTGGTATGTACTGATTTGTTGGTTTAGCCCAGCAGTTTATTAGAACATTCCCAAACATTATAGTGAAGATGTTAGTGAATTCATCCCATGATGTGTGAATTCCATCACTTGTCTATCTGCAGGATGCTTTTGGACTTCTGTTCATAAGCTAAGACCTGCTGTCTTTCCTGCGTTACTTAGCCTAACTGTATAATATCCTTTTTAAATTCATCATCTCTTCATTTTCTCTATAGCCTGTGGCAACCTATATGACTTAGCATCCCTTGATCAGTTTCATGGAAATCAATAGTGTAGCAGAAAAGTTGTCCTTCCAGTCAGTAAGAGAATTGCGCGTGAGCAGAAAACAGCTGCTGTTGTCGTACTTGACAACAAGGCCCTGGTGATGTAATGTAGTATGGAGGCCGCTTGTTCATTTCCTGGCCGCCCAGACTCCCGAAATAACCACACAGAAACTGCATTAATTAAATCACTGCTTGGCCTATTAGCTCTAACTTCTTATTGGCTAGCTCTTACATCTTAATTTAACCCATATTTATTATTTTATATTTTGCCACAAGGCTCATGGCCTACTGGCAAGGTTCCATGGCTTCTCTCTGACTCCGCCTCCTTGCTCCCAGCATTCAGTTTAGTTTTCCCCACCTATCTCTACTCTACCCTATCACAGGCCTAGGACAGTTTCTTTATTAACCAGTGGTATTCACGGCATACAGAGGGGACTTCCACATCAGTGTAAGGGCAGATAGCCCTGGTCACTAACACTTGAAGAGTTTGTGTCTAATTGCTGAGTGCTTGTCTTGTAGCTACACGTCATGGGACATGAAGTCCCGTGGTGGCAGACGGTCATGCATGTCTTCCACACACTTCTCTAATGTTCATGGCTTCAGTCACCAAAATGAGAAGACACTTAAAACTTGCTGCAGAACATGGGATGATGTCTGCAGATTTCTCATAGACGAGGTAGTCAGTTGAGGAACAATGGTCTATGGGACGTTGGGCAAATCGGTGATAACCAAGGAGCATTTCCTTCTGCATTCTTGGAAAGTATGTGCCATTTCTGAGACTCTGCTGAATTCTCTCTTCCTCTCTCTTGGTCCATTCTCTTAAGCATCAATAAATGAAGCTTGTTTTTGTTTTTACATAAAAAGACTTTAGAAAAGACTCTAGCTAAGTCCTAAAACAGAGTTGGGGTATAGGAACAGAGCACTTGACATAGGTTTATATACTGTTGGGAATTGCCTTTGGTTTGCTCTTACACCGTAAGCTCCTGGGTAGGCAATTTTATGGTTTTCTTTTATTTCCTTTTCTTTCTTTCTTTCTTTTTTTCTTTCTTTCTTTCTTTCTTTCTTTCTTTCTTTCCTTCCTTCCTTCCTCCTTCCTTCCTTCCTTCCTTCCTTCCTTCCTTTCTTTCTTTCTTTCTTTCTTTCTTAAAATGGCTTTTTGAGACAGGATTTCTCTGTGTAACAGCCACCCTGGTTGTCCTGGGACTAGCTCTTGTAGACCAGGCTGCCTGAACTCACAGAGATCTGCCTGTCACTGCCTCCCAAGTGCTGGGATTAAAGGCGTGCACCACCGCTGCCCAGTGTGGTTTTCTTTAACTGAATTCCAAGTCCACAGAAGACGGTGCCCAGCACAAATTAAGTGCTTGAGAAATGCTTGAAGAAAAGACGGGTGATGAACTGGTCTAAGAAAGGAGTAGAGAGCTGGGCAGTGGTGGCTCACACCTTTAATCCCATCACCCAGGAGGAAGAGGCAAGCTGATCTCTGAGTTTGAGGCCAGTCTAGTCTATAAAATGACTTCCAGGACAACCAGGGCTACACAGAGAAAACCTGTCTTGAAAAGACGAAAGGAGGGCGAGAGAGAGAAGAGAAAGAAACTCCCTAATTCAGAAGATACCGGCTGGTACCAGTTTTCCGATACAGTCTAGTGCTTTCTCCCAGAAGCAGGACCCATAGCTTGTCACCGTGACAAACATTCTGGCCTGGTAGAAAACTGGTCTCAGCCCGCCTCGCTGTGTTCTCATCTGAGAAATCAAAACCAGTTGTTTCTGTTGCTTAGTAGTTGGTGTGGAGAGAGTGAGGAGCGGTTTTCCCGCTGACGTCCTGCCTCCGGTGCCAGGCTCCTTCCTTCCCTTCTCTGTGTCTTCCCTGTGACTCAGATGAGCGAGATGATGGTCCTCTTATTCACCGGATGTCTGCAGGCCACGCTGTGGTCAGAACCTAGCATCTGTGTCATTACCTTGTCCCGTTCCAGGGAGCTCAGCTGGGGAAAGTGTGAGCCTGATTTCATCTGCCTTGCTGCCTTGTGACGGTAGACTGGGGAGATAAAGCGCATATTTGCTAGAGATAGCTCCAAGATCAAAGCATGGCTTTATTGGCCCTTACATGGGACTTCTTAGGAAGTCTTCATTTTTCTACAAAACAATTTTTCTAATTTCGATTTTTCTTTAAAAAGAATCTAATCCCTAGATCTCTTGTAAAAGAATTCACCAGATAATAGGCCTTGATTTCCATCATGTGCTTCCAAATCTGATACTAACACTCGTGGGCTCCGTCCTTCCCGGTTCTGATCTGCAAGGCGGAGCGATTTTGCAGAGAACCGGGTGTCACGTGCATGTCTCTTGAAAATGAATGTCCAAGTTCCATGTCTTCGTAGTCTCTTGTTGACTATCCAGGACAGAAAAGAAAAGTTTCTAAAGGCAAGAAAAGTCAGGTGCCTCCGGTACTAAGAATGTAAAATAGATCTAGCCAGAGGACACTAGGGCCTGAACCCTGTCCCCTCACCCTGAAGGCAACGCGGCCGAAGGGAAGACAGCTTCTACATGTTTGGGGACTCTTCATCTGGACACCCCTTACCTTCCACACCGTGCCTTTCAGCTCTGTTGAGAATCTTAATTAGGCTACTTGACTCTTAGGGACCTAAGATGCAGTAGAACTGGTGAAGCCCGGTGCTCTACAGATCAGAACCGAAGCTAGAAGAGTAAGCAGAGGTGCATCCATTTTATGCTGCGGTTCTCAGAATGCCTTGTCCTTAGCACCCAGAGCAGCTTCCACCCTCCATCAAAGGAAACGGCTTCAGGGCCGTGGCTTGCACTTTTATTTTCCCCTCCTCTTATACATTGCGATGGTGTGCTCTGAAATATCACCAGATAAGTCAGAGAAAGAACAAGAAAAAGTTTGATTGGTACAACCAAAGGTGTCACCGCATGTATGTACGGTCAGAAAATGAATGGGAGAAATCACATGTCAGTGTAGTGTGCGCACTGTATTAGAGCTCCCGCACAAGGCCTTGTATGTTCCAGCCAAGCACTCAACCATGGACCTGTAGCCCCACCCACAGCGTTGTATCTGGCGTGTGAGGTCTGTTTCCATTTGCACTTTACACACACAATCTGCTTGACGAGTCTTCCTAGCTAAGAACGCGTCACTATTTAAAACAACCGTCTTCTTTTTTAACCAAGCTTACAAGCACGGGCGCTGTCTGTTTCCAAGTATGACAAGTGCTTGGCCCATGTCACTTGTGGGTTCATCTTCGGGAAAGTCGGTGGATATCCCTCCACAACACGTCTGCAATGGCAGGAGAGAAATCCGGGTGCTTGCTTTCGGAAGGGCAGGGGATCCCCCTTTAGAAGTGTTGCTTAGATTCAAACTCACAGGTGGCCTTAGCTCAGAACGGGGACCGGTTTTACCAGCTGGGAGCAGCACTGTCTATCTATAATGATGCTTAGGCAGCAGAGTGTCCGAAGCAATAGAACAACTATATTCTATAATAATAGTAATAGAATAGGGCCCTTTCATTATATGTTTTGTTTTGTCCTTTTTGTTTGTTTTCCTTGTGGTGCTAAGAATGAATTCAGGACCTCCTGCATGCTAGGCAAAGACTATACCACCTCAATCAAGTCCCACAATGTTCTACTCAAAAGCAAAGACTATGTCTGTTGTGGATTTGTATCCCCAAGGTTCCATAACACAGTGCCATTTGATAGGAACCCAAAATGCGATGGCCGTGATAGAAGACGTGGTCATCCAAAACGTTACACCCCGGAGCCTGACACATCCATTCGCACTGTTTCCTTGCCCCCACAGGGAGAAGATCCAGTTTATCCGGACTGAAGGGACCCCTGGGTTGGTTCGGCTCTCCAGCGACGCGGACCTCGTCATGCTCCTGAGGTAGGGGCCGTTGGGACTGCAGGGGACAGTCTCCCGCTTTTAGAAAATAATGTGCCAGGGTTGGCAGCCTAAAGACGTCTCCTTTCTCCTCAAAGTCTAAGGAAATCATCGCGCTGAAGACTTAAGATGCAGCTTTCCGAAGGTTTCATTTCCAGTGACACCTGATAGCCACCCCGAGGCTTGCTGATTCATGTTTCGCAGCACTAGAAAAGGGGAAGGTTATAAAGACAAATCAAATGTCCCGCTCAACGAGCGGAGCCGGGGGTAGCCATATAAGCCTGTGCAGCTCGCCCCTCAATGCAGAGCAGAGGTCGTGTCTCTATTTCTTTCCACTTTCTTCTTCTTCTTCTTCTTCTTCTTCTTCTTCTTCTTCTTCTTCTTCTTCTTCTTCTTCTTCTTCTTCTTCTTCTTCTTCTTCTTCTCCTCCTCCTCCTCCTCCTCCTCCTCCTCCTCCTCCTCCTCCTCCTCCTCCTCCTCCTCCTCCTTCTCCTCCTCCTCCTTCTCCTCCTCCTCCTCAGAATGTGCTCTGCCTCCTTTGGCTAGATTTTAGGCGTAGCCTATTTACTTTACGGTTTTGAGAGTTTAGGTTGGGGAATAGTGCTTCATGGAACGGACCCGTTTTTTTGTTTTCTTTCATGGTGGTTAAATTGAGTTTGGTTTTAAATTGTAGAGGTCTTGGCGAGGGCAGCTGTCAAAACTTCCTCATGTTTGGCATCGTCCCCCAAGCAGAGGCGAATCACAGCTAAAGCCAAGTTTGTAGGACCCACTGGTTGGAAGCTGCTTTGGAGGCCTCCCTAGGATCAAGGGCAGCTATGAGGAGCTGGCCACTCAGGCAATGTTCTTTATCCCTGAGTGCTAAAGGCCGCCAGGAGTTGGGATTTTCATTTGTTTGTGTGGTTTGGTTTTGACTTGGATTTTTCGTTGGGTTTTTTCCCCCCTCCCCATTTATTTTGACCCTGACTCTGATTCTCTCGCACCTAGTGTTTGTTCCCATCTTTCTTACTAGTTCTTTGCTGCTGTTGAAGGAAGATTCCCATGGGACAATCACTTCCCCAAAGTGTTTCTCCTCCCTTGACTCTGAAGACTCTTGGGGACAGGGTGTCGCTTCTCAATCTAGCCGGAGACCCTTCTAACCAAGCCGTACTGAACTAGTTCTGAAAATCGTCCAGCCCCCCAGATAGTCAGACTGTCTCTGAGAAGGTCAGCAACAGGAGAGACAGACAAGGAAGCAAGCAACTTAAGACAATACAGGCTTTAATTTGGGAGAAAGACCCTCTAGCGGGAATCCCTAAGAGTGGGAAGCCATTGCACACAAGCTGGGCTCAGTTACAGGGCGGAAGGGGAAACGGGCAAGGAGGTTGAAAAGTTTCCCTTGGCCTGAAATCATCCCTTACTAGGAGTGAACTTAGGTGAGTAGTGAGTAAAGGAATGTCAGGTGATGGATAAACATCACAGCCGCCATTAGCACGGGTCTGCAGGGGGGCAGGGGCAGGAATTAAGAAAATACCTCTGGAATTCGGATTACCATGTTCTCACTGACACCAAACCAAAAGCTTTTCAAAATGGTGTGACCACGGCTCACCGTTTTATTCTCCATCTCTCTTTAGTTAAGTAATCTTTAGGTCGTGTGGTCTTAACTATTTTAGTTAATTATAGTAAAATATTTGTACATTGTTGAAGATGTCTACACGAATTTCTTATATACTGCCTGGTTGAATTGGAAGTTTTAAAAAATCTCACGAGTAAAGAGCAAGACTACATCGTATTTTTTTTAATTTTATGGTTTATTTAACTTTATTTTATGTGCATTGGTGTGAATGTGTCAGATCCCCTGCAACTGGATCTTCAGACAGTTGTGAGCTACCATGTGGGTGCTGGGAATTGAACCCGGGTCCTCTGGAAGAACAGTCAGTGCTCTTAACCACTGAGCCATATCTCCAGCCCCTACTACATCATGTTTTGCTTGGGAAAATAAGCACGTTCACTGAAACTAAACGGCCTTTGAAGAAGTTGGAGAATTTGCTCACACATAATTCTATAGTTCGGACATGTTATGCACTCAATTCTAGATCATTTCATTTGAGTTATCGAATGTATTTATTAATAGTATACACTGGTACAATATACTATTTTTAATTGCCTAATAAATAATATTCTCTACTTATTGGAAATGTGGGGTTTTAGTTCTTTGCACACGAAAGAGTATACTTGCTGCACACTTACTGGGTGTGTCTGTGTCTCGTTGAGGTTTTACTTCTTAGAGGGAAGGATCAGTCCTGGCACAAATGTACTTGATTATCAGTAAGTCACAGTGTGAGACTGTGTTGCGTTGGCACAATATTCAAATCAAATTGAACCTATTTTAAGGTATTTTTCTGTGACTATTATAAAATATTGTAAAAATTTAAACACCTTTGTTGAATTTGCTATTGATTATTCATTTCCTATATTCAATTATTATTATTATTATCATATATTAGTTATTCCAGCAACTAATTTCATTAACAATGTTCCATTATCAGAATTCACATAGGAAGTAGTAGGTGAATTTGAACATACAAAAATTTTCAAGTTGTATAACAAAAGCTGTCCCAAGTAAAGGCGTGAAAAACGTAGCAAGCGGAAAGGGTGATTTTGGAACAGATAACAAGCAGGTGAAGGATAACTTTCATTTAGCAGATCTCTGTGAGTTCGAGACCAGCCTGGTCTACAAGCGCTAGTTCCAGGACAGGCTCCAGAGCTACAGAGAAACCCTGTCTCGAAAAACCAAAAAAAAAAAAAAAAAAAAAAAAAAAAAAAAAAAAAAGATGGCATCTCACAGGGTTTGAAGAGTGTGGTTCATACAGGTGTGGGAAGGTGCAGGTGACCAAAAGCTGAAGTTTTGTACAATGAGCCACTGTTTGACATGACATTTGTAGACCCCCAAAAAGTCTGATGATGCCCAGGGAGGCTGAGGCACTCTCGCGTTACCTGGCTTGAGGAGACCGAAGTTTCTGCTGAGACAACGTCTCTGGCACACAAATTGGCAACATCTTGTACAATTAAAGATGCTAAAAACATTTTTGTATTTTTAAGAATTATGTATCTATTTTTACATGTCTGAGAAATTTTGCTTGTGTGGGGTGTGTGTGTGTGTGTGTGCGCGTGCGTGCGCGCGCACCTTGTATGTGTATACTGTCTGCAGAGGCTGGGAGACAGCACCATTGGTTATAAAAAGCAAGCAGTCAGGGTGTCTTAGTTAGGGTTTCTATTCTTAGGAAGAGACACCATGACTATGCCAACGCTTTTGAAGGAAAAGCATTTAATTGGGGTGGCTTACCTTTTCAGAGGTTCGGTTCATTATTATCATGAGGCATCATGGTGGCATGCAGGCAGACATGGTGCTGGGGTAGGATACATTTTGATCTGTGGGCAACAGGAAGTAATCTGAGACACTGGGCAGCTTCTTGAGCCCAGGAGACTTGGATGCCTGCTCCCACAGAGACACACTTCCTCCAACAAGGCCACACCTACTTCAACAAAGTCACATCCCACTCCCTGTGAGCTTATGGGGGGCAATTATACTCAAACTACCACATGGGAAAAGGGTAAATATTTTTCAAAAAAATTAGGGATAAATAAGCTAGTATGTTTATTGAATGGCCTAAGACACAGCCAGCAAAAGAGATATCCTAGACTCGTACGTATCCACACAGATATCAGACTACAATAATATTGTTGATTGAGGGAGGTGGGTAAAACTCAAGCATAGGAAAGACAGAGGACATTTAAAATGCATACAGCAAAATTATGTTTTACCTGTGTATGGCTGTTTCTAGGTGTGAAACTGTGGAAGGAAATTACCTGCTAAATCAAGGAAAGCAAGAGGCTCCACAGGGTCCTTCCTCTTCCTCCCCGTGGATGCGGTTTCCTCGGCCTCTTTAGCTAATGTCTGTCTTCTATTTCGTGTCTTTCCCCAGCTTGTTTGAGGAAGAGATAATGTCCTATGTGCCTCCACATGCCTTACTCCACCCCAGCTACTGTCAGTCCCCGCGAGGCTCCCCTGTGTCATCTCCCCAGAACTCACCAGGTGAGTCTGCCTACAGCACGTGGGAATTCTCTGAGGAGCACAAGCAGGGGTTGCTCCGCCTGCCTACAGGTACACACTGCGTGGCATTTGCTGCCTTTTTAAGGAACTGGCTTCCTTGTGAGTTCGTTGGTAAATGTTAGTGTAACGTAAGATGCGTTCTTGGAAGACTTTCTTGGAACCCAAGCCTGCAAATAATGACGCCTTTGGCTTAGGCTTATCCCCAGCTTGCTCTTGTAACTCAAATTAACATGCTTCTAGTAATCTGTGTTCTGCCACGTGGCTTTTACCTTTTCTCAGGACAGCAAGTCCCACTTCCTCTGAGTCTGGTTAGCGGATCTTCACAGTGTGCACAAATATTCTGCAGCAGTATAATACATCCTGCTGTAGAATTTGCTTTTCATTTTGCCGTCTAATGCCTAATGTGTCTTGGAAAATACTAGGCACAAAATACTGGTTGAGCTCTTTTGACTTAAAAAAAAAAAAGTTTGGTTGAGGCCAGGTGGTGGTGGCGCACACCTTTAATCCCAGCACTCAGGAGGCAGCGGCAGAGGCAAACTCTGTGAGTTTGAGGCCAGCCTGGTCTACAAGAGCTAGTTCCAGGACAGACTCCAAAGCTACAGAGAAACTCTGTCTCGAGAAAACAAAAACAAAAACAAGCAAAAAAAAAAAAAAAACGTTTGGGTTGAGGGTACAGTTTTGATAGACAACGAAGACCAATGTCTCCACTCTCAAGAAATAATACAGAATTTAAATTATTTGCTATAATGGACTTGGACATTTTCCTCCTGTTGTATGAGATGGTGTGGGGGAGATGAATGGACAGATGGAATGTTCTGATAAGTGAAAATGTATCTGAACTCTGTTGGTAAGAGACGGATCTGAATTAAGGGGTCGTAAACGGCTGGGTGAGCAGATGATAGACGTGGAACTTGGCAGAAGTGAATTTTTAGGGAAGGCGGCCACCATGTTGACAGATTATCAACTGTATCTTTAGCGTAGGCACTGTTGCTCAGACGTCTGTAGAATTGAAAGCGATTTCAGTCGAAGTCCAGACTTCAGGTGTGCCCGAAAGCTACGGCGCTCTTTCATGTGTGACACGTGTTCTCACACGGCGCTCCAATAGGAAAGCTGCCGTCTAATTGAACGCCGCGAACAGGAAAAGCCCTATTAACTCATCCACGTAATGCAGATTTATTGAGCATCCAACTCTGAGCCAAGCACCGAGCCAGACCATGGTGGTTTAGAGATGCATGGCGTGGTCTCTGCTTCTGAAGGGCTCATGGTGAGGTAGTGAGTCAGCAGCGGAGACTCTGAAGCCCAGTGGGCGATGCTGTCGTGGTGAGGCATCTGGGAACACAGGTGTGGGAACAGTTGTCCAGGGAAGATTAAGGTGTCAGGTGTGGGGCAGCTTTGAAGGACGGGTGAGTGACTAGAAATTTGCCAGGCAGGGCTGAGAATTTCACTGGGCGATAGTATACTTGCTTAGCTCTGGGATTGGTCCCTCGCACTGGCTGTGTGGAAGGGGTGGGCAGGGAAACAAAAATCTGGAGAACTAGAAGTTTCCCAGATGAACCAAAGACAGAGGGACGTTCTGGCTAGACGGGTGAGCTCGCGCTGAGCATGGACAGGGTGATGCTGAGAAGAAAGAGCAGCCGTGGGAGGCAGTTCTCAAGATTCACGCTGGAAATCCAGGCCAGATTGGGGTCCAAAGCCAGGCCACTGGGATGGATGGTACATGAAAGAACTCCACCGTCTGACACTCCAGCTAGGGGTAAAGGTGTAGGGGGGACGTCAGGATTCACGGCTGGCCTCAGTGAGTTCTTTTATCAATGGAGAGCCTTTGGGACGGTGTGTCTCCTGCCAGAACTTTGAGTTTCCTTTTGTAATAAAAATGGATATAGTTATAATCACCTCACTTTTTTTTTTTGGTGGCAGCACCGCAAATATCCAGTAAACATTAATATTTTTTCTTTCTTTCTGAAAATATGTACACCAGTACGCTTTGTCCCTCCATGGGCCATTCATTACTGGCACATATGAGTCCATGTTTTCTTGACTTGCTAGCTTGGCTGTTTTCGGCGTCGAATCATCTGGAGAGGTCTTCGTCTTCAATAAGATGCTTGGTAAAGCTGTCAGCGGACTGTCTATTGTGTCTTGTTGTTTTATGATGAAGCAAGTGGAGCCGTGTGGGATTCATTCACGGCAGCTACATCTCCATTTTTCTAGGCCTTTTCCAAGGTTCTTCTTCCCTAGGAAAAACGTAGACCTCTGCCCCCCGAGTCTGTCCTCTGAGCCCTCACACAGGCACGCTCTTTGAGTCCGCCTGAGTGTCCTCTCGTCCTGCGCAGACATTCCACATGGTGACAGACCGCATGTCTTCTTTGAGCATCCCAGATGCACCCAAATAATTGGTGGCAGTAATCGAGTGTGTTCTGGAAACTCGGGGTTAAACATTTTCCAGTGACATGTGTAATCCGGCCATATCTAAATTGCTAGCGGTGTTTGCGGTGGTTTTAATTTGCAGGAAAAAAATCGTCTCCATATTCTCGGCAGCTCTGTCCCAGCGGGCTTGGTTTGATGTTGAGATGGGACGCACTGCCTGATAGGAGTGGAGGCAACCGTAAGTGACGTCCGATGAGCAGAGCCAGGCCTCACTAACCTCGTTCCCCTGTGGAGGAATCTCTGTTTCTGAGAGTGGCTTCTGCTCCTACCAGGCCCTTTGCTGGCTGTGGAAAAAAATCAACATTTCAAAAATAACTTTTTAAGTGGCCTGGTCCCATTCATGTGACTAGAATTTCGCCCGTGTTAGTGGTTTGAGAATGGGATTGTGAAAATTATGACAATAATAAATTTTAACACTCTTCGCTCTGAGTGCCCAGGAACCTGGTAATCTTTCCATATTTTTCCTCATCCCGAGCACATTTGCATGTCTTTTCGAGAGGGGCTTTGGAAACTCTGACTCACTGCTTGCTGCAGCTGTGAGAGTGTTCACCTAAAACTCGTCAAAATTTTGGAATGCGAAGGCTTATTTTTCTAGGGCCATTATAACGCCAGTCCAACCTCAGCTGCGTCCGAAGGAAAGGATCTCTGCAAACACCGTCTGGTTTGCTGTGCCCAATAGGAAACCAGCAAGTTTGCCTAGGGGCACATCTCTAGGAATGTAAATGCAATGGCACCTGATTTGTCTACCATTTTGGAGATTTACTTTCTGGTCTGCATTTTCCAGGAGGCTAAAACTAGGTGTCAATGGCACGAGAATTTATTTAGCACCACATTTATTGAGATTCTTCATGTGTATTATTTTTCTTCTTGTTTTCATATTTGTGGCACACGGAGGTGCTACACGGTGTGCGTTAAGGGGTCATTGGGTCTGAATGTGGTTCACGACTGTGGTGGCTTCACCGGAACTGAAGCAGTTGGAGCAACAAGCATTGTGAGGTCACTGGACTCACGGCCTTGAGGAGCCTCCTGGGTCTTCATCAGGGTTGCCTCAATGGAATAGATCATGAGAGGGTTTATTTTCCCCCAAAGGAAATAAATTTCTTCTCATGAATTTTTGAATATTACTGGCCATGGATGTTACCTTCTCCTCTTGGAGACATTTCTGTCTGTTCCTCCCTAACCCATTGTTGACCAAGTTTCCTGTCCCACCTGGTCCCGCAGTTGTTCAGTTCCAAAGAATCACACAGAGGTCTATCTTAGTTATAAACTGATTGGCCTATTAGCTCAGGCTTCTTATTAACTCTTATAACTTCATATTAGCCCATAATTCTTGTCTGTGTTAGCCATGTGGCTTGGTACCTTTTTTTGGCGAGGCAGTCAGATCTTGGCTTGCTCTGTGTCTGGCTTCCTCTATGTCTGGGTGATGACTGCAAACTGAATCTTGCCTCTTCCCAGAATTTTCCTGTTCTCAATGCCCCGCCTATACTTCCTGCCTGGCAACTGGCCAATCAGCATTTTATTAAACAAGTACAAGAAACAAATCTTTACAGGGTACAACCATTGTCCCACAGCAACCCTCCTCAGTCTCTTCCCCCTCTGCTCAGTACTGTTATAATACGACTATTATTTTTATCATTTTTTTATTCTTTGGAGGTTTTATACATTCATATAGTATATATTGATAAATAACCACCAGTACTATCTTCTGACTGTCCCTCCTACCCTCACCCACCTCCCTCTGAGTTTCATGTCCTCTTTTTATTCTGTGTTATTTATAACCCCCTGAATCCAGTTAGTGTAGATAGTTCATTTTTTATTAATCTTCATTGTCCTCACCCCTGGTACTGCCAGGATAGGGTGTCTATTATTGGCGTACCCTTCAGCGGTCCCTTTTTAATATGTTACTTCTTGGCCAAGCTTAAAAAACCACAGTTCTCAATCTGTTTCCAGTAAATGGTAGGAGCCAAGCCTAATGGCCGAGATCCACAATCCCAGCTACTTGAGAGGCAAGTTAAAGTTCTGCCTCCCAAGTGAGTTCTAGGGTAACCTGGGCAACTTAGTGAGATCTTGTCAAAATAAAAACAGAAAAGTAAGCTGAGTGTACAGCTAGGTGATAGATTACTCGTCTGACAACTGCATGAAACCCCACATTTAATCCCCAGAATCCTCCCCCAAAAAGAAAAAAAAAAAGGAAAATTAAGTAGTATGTATAGGAATATCTACAGATCTAAGGCTTTTGCTACTCTTGAAAAATAGGCACTAGATATGAGGACTTACATATTATGTTTCATCTAAACTATGCCCAGGGTGCTCCCCCTCTAAGAACATTCCACTGTGCTCCAGATAAGGCTGTCTGGGCATCGTTGTGATGCTCATTGGCTTGTTCTGTGCTACTAATGGGGAATTGTGGTGACATATTTGTACACTGTGTGAAGACTTGATTGGTGAAATCAAAAGCTGAATGGCCAATAGCTAGGTAGGAGAGGATAAGTGAACTTCCTGGGAGAGAGAGGAAGAGGAGGAGGAATCTAGGCCCAGAATTCACCAGCAGATGAACA